ACCCTCCTCCTCTCACTTTCCACACTCTCCTGGGGTAAACTCACCCTCTCTCATGGGCTCACATGCCTTTGGGCTGCTGAGACCCACATTTTAATGTGGTCCCCATCTCTGCCTTGAGCCCAGACCTCTTCCCCAGGCTCAGACCACTATAGAAGTCTCCTGGATGCCTCTCTCTGGCTGTCCCACCAGCATCTCCCACTCACCATGTGCAAATTGAGTTCATCTTCCCGCCAAAACCATCTGTTTCCTGTACTTTCATTCATCCGATAGAAGTCTCCTGGATGCCTCTCTCTGGCTGTCCCACCAGCATCTCCCACTCACCATGTGCCAAATTGAGTTCATCTTCCCGCCAAAACCATCTGTTTCCTGTACTTTCATTCATCCGCTCAACAAATATTTATTAGATACCTATTGGGTGTGTAAGAAAAAATTTAAGATTTTGAATTAAGCAAAAGAAATTACTGCTATGATGAAAAGGGTGGATTATAACAAGTGTCAATGAGAAGATGGAAAAGCTGGAACCGTCATAGATTGCTGGTGAAAATGTAAAACCGTGTGGCCCTGGTCCACCCAGAACCAGGACCAAGCCCACAGATGGCCCAAGGTAGAGAGGGGATTAAAGTATTAGGTGCTTTGATGGATAAGGGGGTAGAGTGGCTTGACTTGGGGAACTGAGGTTTGTAGAAAGGGCAGGGACCTGGGGGCTGGATTGCAGGGCCTCTGAGGAATGGCCTCAGATGTGGATGGCTACAGGGGTGCCTGAGGAAACTAGGCATAAGCACCACAGCCTGGGCAGGCTTTGGTGCTCCTGGGCCAAGCTGGTATAGAGGGTGTGAGGCTGCCAGTGCCTGGCTTGGGCTGGGGGCAGCCATAGTGATGATCTCTGTGTGTCTTCTCAAGATGGCCTCCTAGCATTGTGACCAGCCCCGGAGACAGGGTGAGCCTCCAGGAAAATGACAAATATCAGATTTCTTGCCAATCCTGGCAATGAGAAGAGGGGCATCCGACTGTATTTAATGTGATTTATTCCCCCCCCCCAAATGTGGCATTTCTTACATCCTGAATGCCATGCTGTGAATTCCTATACAGAATTACAAATTGCAATATGTGTGAGGTAAGAGGGAGTGGTCATGGGGTTTCAGAAAAGTGGTTCACAAAAGGCTCACTATTTAGCAAGAAGAATGGACAAGTCTTAGTGATGGGTTGGAAGTGGAGGGAGAGAGACTGGCGCCAAAAAGATTTCCAGGTTCCTGGCTGAGAACTGGGTCAACCAGAGTGTATCCTGCACCCCCGTCCCTCTAGATGATCCATCCAGCCCGCTACAAAGGCCTGGCCCCTGGGCCCTGACTTCCTGCCCCCATCCACAAGGCCCATCTCCCCGCTCCCCCAATGCGTCAAAAGGTGCCCAGGCGGTGTGGGGCGCCCGGCAGGTGTTAAGGGCGGGGATCATCAGGCACCAGGAGCTCCAGCGAGGCGTCGGCCCAGCCCCCAGGGGGGGTCTCCTTCCAGCCCTTCAGGTGGCGCCGGCCCCGCGCCTCGCAGCTCCCAAGGCTGCTTCGGCCACCCGCGCGGGGGCGCTGTCCTTCCCACCGGCCCGACCCCGAGGCCCGAGTTTGTGAGCCGAGAGCCAGGCTCAGGAGTCCCTGCGGGCGGAGACGCCCTCCCGGTCCTGGGCACCTTGGGGATGCGGCTCTCAGGCGGTTTCAGCGGGTGATTTGCCCCGGGCCAGGAGCGGGGACCCCCGTCTTCCAGAGGCCGCCCCCCTCCCTCCCGGGGTCCCCAGGGCGCTTCTGCCCCTTCGCGGGGCCGGAGCCCTCCACCTTGCTTGGCGAGGCCGCCGCCTGCTCGCCGGCCCCGAGGCGAGGGGCAGGGAAGAGCCAGGCCACGAACGAAGTCTGAATCTGAGAAGGGCCCGGAGAGGCTGTCGTTGTCCGCCTTTCCCGGCCCGGCCCAGGCGGGGAGATCCTCCTGCACTGAGCCTTCCTCCTCTGCAACGGAGGGCCGCACTTGACGGAGAGGGGACGGCCTGCGGCTCAGAGACCCTGAGCTCGAGGTCTTCCGCCTCAGGATATTGAGGTGGTCGGCGCTGCTAAATCCAACGGCCAGCTTCAGTCTCTGCAGTCTCTCCCCCAGCTTTTGACACTGTGCCTCACTGCCTCCTTCTTGTATCACCGCAGGCCCTATCCCTTCTTACAGCTCTGGGGATGCCCTTCCCAGCTTCCTCTGTGTGCTTCTCCGACCTCTGAAATTGGGCCCCACCTCTCTTTCCATTCTGACACTGTCTCTGAGGTGTTACCTTCCCCCATGTGAGGGTTCAGCGACAATCTGCCCACCCCTTACCAGACCCCCCCCCCCCCCGCGCCTCGCAGCTCCCAAGGCTGCTTCGGCCACCCGCGCGGGGGCGCTGTCCTTCCCACCGGCCCGACCCCGAGGCCCGAGTTTGTGAGCCGAGAGCCAGGCTCAGGAGTCCCTGCGGGCGGAGACGCCCTCCCGGTCCTGGGCACCTTGGGGATGCGGCTCTCAGGCGGTTTCAGCGGGTGATTTGCCCCGGGCCAGGAGCGGGGACCCCCGTCTTCCAGAGGCCGCCCCCCTCCCTCCCGGGGTCCCCAGGGCGCTTCTGCCCCTTCGCGGGGCCGGAGCCCTCCACCTTGCTTGGCGAGGCCGCCGCCTGCTCGCCGGCCCCGAGGCGAGGGGCAGGGAAGAGCCAGGCCACGAACGAAGTCTGAATCTGAGAAGGGCCCGGAGAGGCTGTCGTTGTCCGCCTTTCCCGGCCCGGCCCAGGCGGGGAGATCCTCCTGCACTGAGCCTTCCTCCTCTGCAACGGAGGGCCGCACTTGACGGAGAGGGGACGGCCTGCGGCTCAGAGACCCTGAGCTCGAGGTCTTCCGCCTCAGGATATTGAGGTGGTCGGCTCTGCTAAATCCAACGGCCAGCTTCAGTCTCTGCAGTCTCTCCCCCAGCTTTTGACACTGTGCCTCACTGCCTCCTTCTTGAATCACCGCAGGCCCTATCCCTTCTTACAGCTCTGGGGATGCCCTTCCCAGCTTCCTCTGTGTGCTTCTCCGACCTCTGAAATTGGGCCCCACCTCTCTTTCCATTCTGACACTGTCTCTGAGGTGTTACCTTCCCCCATGTGAGGGTTCAGCGACAATCTGCCCACCCCTTACCAGCCCCCCCCCCCCCGCCCCCATGCACACATAAGACAACCAAGTCCCAGACCTTGCTTGCAGCTAGCTCTCTCTTCAGAACTCCAGCCCTGGTAGGCCATGGCCTCCTGGACGTGTGCTCCTCTGTTTCTGAGAGGCCCTCAGGAAACCTTGTTCTGCATCTCAGACATAGCACCATCATCTGCCTGGCCAGTGGGCATGTGTGTGTTATGGGACCTGGTGTGTGGGTCAGAGCAAGAACTGAAAGAAGGGAGATGTCCATACACAGCACTTCTTTGGCCTCAGTGTGGCCTTTTCTTGTCTTCAGGTCCCTGACTAGTAGCAAGCTCTGAGGGCTATGTCTGTGTTGGGCCAGGAAGGAACCACACTGTGTGTGTGTGTGTGTGTGTGTATAGAGGTGGTTTCTGGGGGTGGAAAACCCTAGTGCTGTTGGTATTGGGGTGAGGAGGCAGGCTTGGCCAGTCGGATGGGGAAGGCTTGCTCAGAAAACTGGACTATTTGGGCATCGTTAGCACTCCTGTGATAATTTTTCTGTAAGAACTGAGCTAAGCTCTTTTAAAAGGGGCCCTTAAAAAAAAAAAAAAAAGACCTTTTAAAGGAGTAGGAATGTTCCTTGGGAGCCAGTTTTGGTGGGAGGAACTGGTGCCCACCCCACCCCCCAGATCCCTGAGGGCTCAGGCTTTAAAAGGTAGGCCGCCACATGGCCTTGTGGCCTATACCAGCGGGATCCTGGCAGGACCCATCTCTGACCAAGGCTGAGAGCTTCAGGCCTGCTGGCAGCTCCCCAGTCTTCTTCACTACAGCCTGGTGGCCTGGCTGCAGTCCTCCCTCAGCCTGCCAGCACCACACTCACAGCCCACAGGGCTGACCTGCTCCCCCTCCCTGATATCCCAGGATTCAGAAAACTGATTGCTCCTACCTGGTTTCAGTTTTCTGACCCAGAGACCTGCCATTATCCTTGGTCAAGTCCTCATGCAAACCAGACTCCTTTCATTCAAAGATTTCCAGAGGCGGGGCTAACTCCAGCCCTCCAGCCATACCCGTGTTGCCCCCTCTACCCTCTGCTTGGGCTGCCCAGCACCCTGTCAGAACTCTACAGCCACTTTCTCCAGGAAGCCTTCCTGACTGCCCCACCAGTGTCCTCTCTTTACTGTCCTCTCAAAGCCAGGCCGTTACTTGTCCTAAGGCCTCATCCTGTACCACATTGTATTGTCATAAGACTGGGATTCTTTACCACAGTGATCCCAATGCCCAGCACTGAGCCAGGCACAAAGTAGGTGCTAAGGAAAAGTCTGCCACATGTATGAAAGAATGGGGGACTTCAGGCATTTTTTAGAAGCTTCTGGTTGAGATGTCATGGATATTGAATGAGGATCAGCAGATGTTAGGTTCTATCCTCATTAGTGTTCTGAGACTTGATCAGAAGCCTGGTTTTCTCAAGAAGTCTGACCTGTGCATGAGCTTTAAGACTGAGCCCTTGGTAAACAACTATCACTCAGAATTACCCTGGGCTGACTGGGTCCCTGATCCTGTTTTCCTTCCATCCAGGACTCAGCCCGCTGGGATTTGGCACCTCTTTCATTGGATCTCACCCTTGCCTTGTCCTGCCCACTGTCATAGTGGAGTCCCATCCTCAATCTTCTAGCATTGCCTGCCCACTCACATCTCATGCTGACAATTCACAGGAACTGGGCATTGCTCAGACTCCTCTGAGCCCAGATGGGTGAATGTAGAGCCTGACACACCACTTTTGAGTGTATATGGCATACACACATACGCATGCATGTGGCATGTGCACACACACACACATACACACAGCCAGAGAGACAGTGCTGAGCCAGAGGGACCAGTTTTATTAGATTCCAGCAACACTATACGGTACAAGTTTCATGCAGATTAAATATGTGTCTTCACTGCCCCTGGGAGGGGAGCACTTTCACTACTAGCTCCTTCATTGGCATGTCAAGGGGTGAGCATCAAGGGGAACCTTCAACATATTCCACATGGGGGACAGTTGGGATCATGACTGGCGGTGAGACAGTGAGCAGCTGAGGGCCTCTGGGACACTGAGTTTTCAGAGGTTCAGGGACCACAGGACCTTGGTCCTTTGCTGGTACTGGCACCAGAGAATCTTGATCCTTCGGAGGCACTGGGATTATAGGAACTTGATTCTTCACAGGGTCAGGGACGACAGGACCTTGATTCTTTGGAGACTCTGGAACCGTGGAACCTTGATCCTTGACTAGTGCTGGGACAATAGAGCCTTGATTTTTCACAGACTCAGGGACCACAGGACCTTGATTCTTCACAGATGCTACAACCTCAGAATCATGAACCTTCAGATGCTCTGGGACCACTAACCCTTGATTCTTTACAGGCTCAGAGACCACGGGACCTTTGTACTTTTCAGGTACTATGACCATAGCACTTGGATCCTTCAGATGCTCTGGGACCATGGGACCTTGATCCTTAACAGATCCTGAGACCATGGATCCTTGATCCTTAACAGGGGCTGGGACCACAGGACCTTGATCCTTCAGAGACTCTGGTACCGTGGAACCTTGATCCTTAACTCTTGTTGAAACCATAGGGCTTTCATTCTTTAGAGGCACCGGGACCAAGGGACCTTGGTCCTTGACTGGTGCTGAAATCATAGAACATTCATTCTTTAAAGGCTCAGGGACCACATGATCTTGACCCTTGACTGGTACCTGGACCATGGGGCCTTGATGCTTTGGATGTTCTGGGACCACAGGACCTTGATCCTTTGGAGACCCCAGGACCATGGGACCTAGATCCTTCAGAGGCCCTGGGACTATAGGACCTTGATCCTTTGGAGAACCCAGGACCATGGGACCTTGATGCTTTGGAGGCTCTGGGACCACAGGACTTTGACCCTTCAGAGGCCCTGGGACCACAGGACCATGATCCTTCGGAGGCCCTGGGACCACAGGACCTTGATCCTTCGGAGGCCCTGGGACCACGGGACCTTGGTCCTTCGGAGGCCCTGGGACCACGGGACCTTGATCCTTCGGAGGCCCTGGGACCACGGGACCTTGGTCCTTCGGAGGCCCTGGGACCACGGGACCTTGGTCCTTCGGAGGCCCTGGGACCACGGGACCTTGGTCCTTCGGAGGCCCTGGGACCACGGGACCTTGGTCCTTCGGAGGCCCTGGGACCACGGGACCTTGGTCCTTCGGAGGCCCTGGGACCACGGGACCTTGGTCCTTCGGAGGCCCTGGGACCACGGGACCTTGGTCCTTCGGAGGCCCTGGGACCACGGGACCTTGGTCCTTCGGAGGCCCTGGGACCACGGGACCTTGGTCCTTCGGAGGCCCTGGGACCACGGGACCTTGGTCCTTCGGAGGCCCTGGGACCACGGGACCTTGGTCCTTCGGAGGCCCTGGGACCACGGGACCTTGGTCCTTCGGAGGCCCTGGGACCACGGGACCTTGGTCCTTCGGAGGCCCTGGGACCACGGGACCTTGGTCCTTCGGAGGCCCTGGGACCACGGGACCTTGGTCCTTCGGAGGCCCTGGGACCACGGGACCTTGGTCCTTCGGAGGCCCTGGGACCACGGGACCTTGGTCCTTCGGAGGCCCTGGGACCACGGGACCTTGGTCCTTCGGAGGCCCTGGGACCACGGGACCTTGGTCCTTCGGAGGCCCTGGGACCACGGGACCTTGGTCCTTCGGAGGCCCTGGGACCACGGGACCTTGGTCCTTCGGAGGCCCTGGGACCACGGGACCTTGGTCCTTCGGAGGCCCTGGGACCACGGGACCTTGGTCCTTCGGAGGCCCTGGGACCACGGGACCTTGGTCCTTCGGAGGCCCTGGGACCACGGGACCTTGGTCCTTCGGAGGCCCTGGGACCACGGGACCTTGGTCCTTCGGAGGCCCTGGGACCACGGGACCTTGATCCTTCGGAGGCCCTGGGACCACAGGACCTTGATCCTTCGGAGGCCCTGGGACCACGGGACCTTGATCCTTCGGAGGCCCTGGGACCACGGGACTTTGACCCTTCGGAGGCCCTGGGACTATAGAACCTTGATCCGTTGGAAGCCCCAAGACCGTGGGGCCTTGATCTTTTGGAGGCCATGGGACAACAGGACTTTGATCCTTTGGAGGCCCTGGGATCACAGGACCTTGATCCTTTGGCGGTTCTGGTACTACATGATCTTGATCCTTTGGAGGCCCCAGTACCATGGGACCTTGATCCTTCGGAGGCCCTGGGACCACAGGACCTTGATCCTTTGGAGGTCCTGGGACTACAGGACCTTGATCCTTCGGAGGCCCTGGGACCACAGGACCTTGATCCTTCGGAGGCTCTTGGACCACAAGACCTTGACCTTTCAGAAGCCCTGGGACCACAGGACCTTGATCCTTGTCCGGCTCTGTGGCTACAGGACCTCCATTCTTATGTGAATCACGGGCAGGTTGGACCAGGCTCCTGCAAAGGAGAGAGAGGTGGTCACTGAGAGGGCAGAGCTTAGGGCAGGGGTAGGGCAGAGCACAGATTGCCTGATAAGTCTTGGCCTCGTATAGCCTGGGAAGGGCAGCTCTTGCTGGGGAGCTGGGAGCAGAATCTGATTTCTGTGTTCTTAGTACAGAATGTGGGGTGGGGTGAGGGGCAGGCTCAGGAATTAGTCATTCAATGTGCTTGCCAATTGATTATAACCTGCACATGGCACAGGGGGTGACGCCCTTGTGACGACGGCAGTACCATAGCTGGACTCAGAGTTGTCCAGTGGACATCCCAGCAGCCCGCACACCCCACACTCCACCCAGGCCCTTCCTTCCTCCAGGGTCGTTGGCCTATCCTGGGAGCCCCATCGTAGCTATCCACTCAGAGGACCCTATAGGCCAGGGTGCTCCTTCCTTGTTCTCAAGGCCACTCAAGGTTCCTTTCCCTCCCCAACCTTCTTGTTAAGGGCTGACTGCAGAAAGGGGCATCGGGGCCATGGAATACCAAGAAAGGGGGAAGAAGGAATTCCTCTCCTCCCGTCCCCTGCAAGGGGAAAAGTATTTTATCACTGACATATAGAACAGCTGGCACATGGTGGTAATAAAAAGCAGATTGACTTTTAATTAGCTTCATGGTTGCTTTTAAGTTCTCCATAGGCAGGGCACCCATTACCAGCTACACCACTCCCACCGCCCCCTACCTTTGGTAAGTGACTGGCTGGGTCTCCCCATGCAGGCAGTGATGAAGCCCTGGTCCCCTCATTCCATCCTCTACTCTCCTCGGGCCCTCACCTTCACTTACTCCAAGGCTCCTGGGCTTATTTCCCTGCAGCAGAGAGTCCAAGCCTCTCACCAGAATCCTCATGGCTGCAGCCACTCACCCCATCCCACATTTTTTAAGCTTAATTTATTCTAAATCATGTATAATTCAATTTAAAGTATTGAAGAGAATAGAATTGTTATAAAATCCTCCTTAAAAGGATTGTTACATTTTACTAGATTTTTTATTTTGTTACGAGGGTACTCCAAAAAGCTCATGGAAAAATAGAATTAAAAGATAATATGAATCCTTCCATGAACTTTTTGATGTATCCTCATACTTTAATAACTTCAGCATTCATTTTTAAAACCAAAGCAGCCTTGACAGGGTTTTTCTATGGATAAAACCGCCCTCAAGGGCACCATGAGACTCTCACTGGCACTGACTAGTCATCACTTGGTTCCACAGTTCCCAGCCAGCCTCTGCGTCTGTAAATGCCCTGCCACCTCCAGGATGGCTGGCGGGAGCCGCGCTCACAGGGCCGGCTATGTGAAGAGTGAATGAGACAAGGCTGGTGCGTGGCTTGGCGAGCAGAAGCAGGCTGGATTCAGCCCCACTCAGGCCACAGGCCAGCTGTCCCTGGGCATGGCCAACCTGCACAACCAAATCCGGTGCCCCAAGCCAGCTGCAAATCTTCTCAAGACAGAATATGACACAGGCCCCTTCTACCTCCCAGCCTGTGTGCCCTAAAAGCACTAATCTCTCAGGAACTAAAATGACCTATTGGGTTTATCTAAGTGTCTGTGCTGCTTATTGCCTGAAAGGTCTGGGGCAATTCCTCAACCACAATAGACCTCGGTTTCCCCACCTGTAAAATGGTAATAACAATGTAAATATAAGGGACTATTATAAGAGAGGATCAAAGGATCCTGTTGGGTAGGGATCTGAAATTATAATTCTTGATATTTGTAGAGTGCTCGGGTGTATTACACAAGTAAGTCCATTACTATAGTAACTGTAATAAGTTTCCTAAACACTCATGCATTCCTTGCTTTATCCCATCAAACGCATGGCAGCCCTGGAGGAAGGCAGGCTTCCTGCCACCGCGCTGTCTTTGCATTGTCCTCTCATGCCGGTTTACGTACTCCCGATGCTGCGTCTTTGTTTCTGCTGTCTGCTTCCTGGATTGCCTTCTTTCACCTGCTTTCCCTGCCAAAGCCCTGTCTGTCCTGGAAGGCTCAGCTCAGATCCCACATCCTTGCAAGGTCCTCCTGCATGTGTCTGTCCAAATTAGTTTTGTTCGCGTCTCCCTTGCAGCATCATTTGACAGTCTCTCTCTCCACAGTCATAGATACCCCAATTGCTCATCAGGTTCCCCCCTTAGACCGTGAGCTCCCCAAAGGCGGGGCTATCCTCCTCACCTGTGTCCCCAATGCCAGGCACAGTATATGGAACAAAGAAGGCCAAATGGAAAGATTTACAAATTACTGTTTGCTGAAACCTGGTCCATCCTCTATTCCATGGCCTCAGGCAGAAACCCAGCGTCATCCTTGATCCCTTCCTCGCCCTCAAAACCCTCCCCCAACCCATCACGTTCCACCTATTCAGCTGCTAACATTCATCTCCTGAATATTCCCACTTCTTTCCCTCTTTCCCTTCCCCTACCTCCTACTGTGCCATCATCTCTCTAGACCACGGTCACAGCCTCCTGACTGCTACCCCTGGTTCCACCTCTTCTTCTTCTCCTCCACTCCATTCTCCATACAGAAACCAGAATGATCTTTCAAGAAAGCAAGCCTGATCCCGCCCCTTCCCTGCTTACCACCCTTCAGTGGCTTCTCCTTGCACTAAGAATAAAGAGTGAAATCTGTGTCATGGCCCCACCTAGCTGCCCTGCCTGCTTGCACCACCTTCCCTGGCTCTGAGACAGCCCCAGAGACTTCATCCTGTTCCTTCAGCATGCCCCGCTCCTTCCTGTTTTACAGTTTTTGCACATGCTGATGTCTCCTCCTGGAACGTTCTCTTCCCTCCTCACCTGGCTAATGCCTACTCATTCCCCATCTCTCAGCTCACTGGAGATGCCCACTGACCCCACAGTCCTGGCCAGGTCCCCCACTACAGGCTCTCCTAGTCCCTGGCACTTTCTTTCCTCTCCCTTATTACAGCTAATTACTTTTATTCTTTTGGTTTAATGTTTCACCTACTAGACTGAAGTGTTCAGAGGGCAGGGACCATGTCAGTTCTGTACATTATTGTATCCTCTGTACCTGAAACAGTATCTGACCCAGGGAAGGTCCTGACTAAACACTTGTGCAATGAATGAGTAAACAAAAGGTTTTTCTGTGCCAGGCTCTGTCCTGTTTATAACACAATGTTCCAAGGTTATATGAGACATCCTAAGTTTTAGACACTTCATTTTCTGCTGGTCTTCCTATTTCCATGGAGACAGGCAGTGCCTCGTGAGTGCACACACACTGACATCGGATCTATGCTTCACAGTCTGAGAGCGGAGTTACTGAGCGCGGCCCTCGAATGGCTGGAGAAAAGGCTTTGTTCCGTCCTACCGATTCCCGCCCTTGCACACACTTCTCATCCTATAATCCACCCACGTTTGTTTCCTTCTTCCCAAAATGTCTCCTGTTGTACCATCAAAGCAGCCCAGAGCTGGGGCCATGCTCCTGGCATAGGGCCTTGTTCAGAAATTAGG